TTACTGTAATCACACTGCTTTGCATGGCTGTGTTGTGCACAGCCATCCAAAGCAGTGTGCATGAGCTGACAGGGAGGAGAACTGTATTGTTTACATACAGTTCTCCCCGTCGGAGATGCTCAGCAATCACCGTGCACCAGACAGTAATCACCAGGTGATTGACAGCCGTGGCTGTAAATGGCGGTACGGATAGGGCATGCGCACCCCCTACCTGTAGATGCAAAATCACGTATGTATACTTGGTTTTGCACACCCGTGCCGCCCTGTAGCAGTATATCTGCTATAGGGAGGTTGAGAAGCGGTTAAAGATGAATTCCAAAATAATATATATATTTTTTGTTTCAGATAGAGCAGAGAAGGATTGGAACCTCTGCTAGATTTTTGAATATCTAAGTATCTGTTGGATGAATTTCCAATCAGTTCCTGTCATACCAACTGGATCAGAATGTGAGGGGAAGTCCAACATTTGACAGCTGTCACTTAAATAGGAAAGATATGGAAATCTGTTCCAACGACAACTCTCATAGGTAGGATTTCTGCTCACTTAGCTCTGGTTCACATATATGCAGTCATGCGGGCCGCGTTTTGCACGGGCACGAGAGCCCATTCATTTGAATGGACTCCCGTGCCCTGTGACACGCAGGGAAGTTCCTGCACATCTGATAACGCAGCCCGCATGGCAACCTCGGTTCCCAGTATGGTTGCGTTTTCCAGTGCAGAACTAATGGTACCCACCCTTGGGTCCGCATTCCTCTGTACGAGTGGTGTGGCTGCACAGATTTTCGTGCGGATCCGCAGCCCCACCATCCGCACATATGTGAACCTAGCCTAAGGGAATATTCTCTCTCAGTTCCTTTTGTGTCTTTAGAACAGGAAGTGAGGGGAAAATCTCCTTAATTGATAACAATATATATTTAGCAGACATTTCAACATTTTCTACTTAATCCAAACCAACAGCAAAAAAAGTTATGTTTGTTCTGTGGCGCATACAGGGATTCTAGTATGTCAGAACTATGGGGAGTGAATAAAATTGTATACCTTTTGTCTAAATACTGAATGTAATGGGATATGCATTTCCTTAAAAAGGTTATTTAATTAAAAACGCTCCATGTATTTATTCCTTATATAGTAGAATCAACATTATGCTAATAGGTATAGTGGCTGGAATCCAAGAAAGGGCTCATTCACACCAGCCCTACTGACCTTCATTGGGCAACTTTGCCCAAACCAAGCCCAGCGTATAGACAAAGCAATTTGTCTTTTGACCTATTGCTTAAATTCACACCAACAAAAAAAGCAAGCACTGTAATTGGTTTTAACAGGACATTGCAACATGTGTGCACCCTGCATACCAGCTCCTATGTGTTATGTACACCTTAATACATGCTCGCTGGTGTGAAGAAGCCCAACTCGGAGGCTGATGAGGATGTGCACCCTGGTCTACTGAAAGCAGTCTCCATGGCCATTTATTGGTGAGCTGATATGGTTCCTGGTTTCTAAAGTGTACTCCTGGGCCATTAAGACAGAAAAACAAATTTAGTATGCAGCTTTGTCAGCCTGCCTAGGTCTCTTCACTTGGACCACAGAAAACCTCCCCCTCTCCTCATTCCCACAACAGTGATTTTCTGTAGTTCTGAAGGGGAGAACCCTTGCAGGGCTGACAACACTGCAGTGCACCAGAGGGATATGTATTGCCAGTTGATGTTAGGAGAACACTAGGGGGTTTATTTACTAAAGCTGGAGAGTCCAAAATCAGACTCCCTTCTGCATAGAAACCAATCAGCTTCTAACCTCAGCTTGTTCAATGAAGCTTTGGCAATGAAACCTGGAAGCTGATTGGTTTCTATGCAGAAGTGAGTCTGATTTTGGACTCTCCAGCTTTAGTAAATAAACCCCCAGATGTCTGGCATGATCAGCAGGGATGAGATGTACTGAACACGTCTATTTTTACTTACAAAAACATACACTTTAAGACCTCTTTCCTTGGGCTTAGTATTATTGGTACTATTATTATATCTTTACTGTATTTGTTAAAATAACAGGAGCAGTGATATCCAAAGGTAAAAGCATTATCTATTCACCCTTTATTAATAGTTCACCAAGCAATGAATAGTGCTACTTAACTATATTTATATCCAGAATGGGGTTATTTTTTTGGAAGCTGAAAAGTGCCTTTACATTAACAATTCTCATGTGTAGGGGACTGATAATTATCACTGCAGGACGCATGGTTGAGTTTGTTGCTTTCTTTTTACTTGAATTGCTTTTTGGCATTTTAATTACCTGTGCTGAGTTATACTTAAACCTTACTAAGCAGTGTTTATATGCTATCTGTATGTTTTCTGTGTTACATTTAAAGTGCTCTACGGTCACTTTACCATTATTTGCTTTTCTGTTTCAAAAAACGTTTATTGGTAATTTTATCATATAGATTTAAATATAATATAATTAAGTGTCTAAATATACAGTTGCAAGAAAAAGTATGTGAACCCCTTGGGAT